GTAAGTGGATGTTTGTAACTTGTGGACTGTCTGTAATTTTATCTGTGAGATGGCTTGCATTTCTTCTTTGGAAGAATGGTGGCATTTAGTTAAATAATGAAGGCTCAGTTGTTGAGTACACCATGTATTTTATATGGAAAAAGTTCATTTCTGGGCATCTAAAAGGCTGAGAAAAGTCCTGTTAACATTTTGGAGAGCTGGTAGCAGTTAGTGTTAATGATTTTGGACTTGGGCAGATTCTTATGTTCCTAAATATACCTACTTGAGAACTATAAACTGCATAGTTATCTTCTGAGTCCCCAGTGGGAACAATATGACATGGAGAAGTGGGGGGGGGGTGGCATAGGAGAGAGCCTTCTTGGTTGTGGTGCCCACACCTGTTAAATGCTCTCCCCTTGGAAGCTTGACAGATGCCAGTGCTAGCTTCTTTCCAGCACCAGTTCCAGCCATGGATTTTTATTAAAACCTTTATTGGCCTAATTTATTTCTAAGTATGTGCATGCTTTTAAAATTGAAATATTTTGGCGTGTAAACCTGCTTTAGCAGGTTTACATGGTTTACTTTGATATTTTTCCTCCACTTTCCCCATTCCTCTATCCCTCCATCTGAAGAGGTTTAAAGACTTAAACAGAGGCACTAATGTCTTTATGATTTGCAGACCAATATGAACCAGCCTAGAAGCAAAATGAGAAATCACTGATGTTCATATTCCACATCATATAAAACCAATTTCTGAAAATCCCCTTTCTTACTGATACAGATCACATTTATACTGTTTGCATTATTACTTTAGGGATGATGTGGGGCAACTTCAGAAGACAGAATGAACTGAGATCTTAACTTCTGAGGGATTGCTGAAATACAGCTAGTGGAATCATAGTGCATATGCCTAGTGTAAAACATTTACAGAACTTTTTTTTTTTTGCAGTTTATAGTTCTACCTACCAATCCAGGGGAGTAAGAACTTATAGGTGACCATAGACTTGGGATCTGAAAAATATAATGTAAAATATTCTAGAAATAACAAAAACACAAGAACAGAGTCAAAGATAAGTACAATATGAAACATTGCAATAGTCAAATATGTCTGGGGGGAATATCTAGGGACTGAAGCACAATGCAAATCAGATTGGTTCTGATGCTTCCTAGACTTTCTTCCAAAGCAACCAGAACCAATTACTGTTCCTCACACCATTTCTTTTGTGTGTCAGAAATATAGGCACTTGTTTCCACATACAGCTTCTCTTTAAATTTCATCTTTGGAAAAATGCTGAGAGAAAATGAGGGAGGTTGAATGAAATTATCTCTACCTAATTCTGTCACATAGTCTACAAGTGGTTCTGCAATCACTGTGCTTTAGTGGAAAGCTTGCACCTTAGTTTCCTTTTTCCTACTATGTTCCTGGTCTTTGTGAATGCATCGCATGGTGAAATTAGTTCCATAGAATGTGAACTGCATTATATACACTGAAGCACATGGTAGAATTGAGAATGGGGGCTACCAAAAAATTCCCAAGATAGAGCTGGGCAACAAGAGGCCAGTTACTTCCTGGGGTGGGTAAATGGTTACTTGATTATTTCTCCTGCTAGCTTCACTTCCTCTTCTTGATTATGTTGGAGTTTTAAAATATGTTAGAAGGCACGGAACACTCTCCCTAG